TAGGGTGGTCTATCCAACTCGAATTGTAGGTGTTATAGAATAGATAATATGGCTTAATTGACCACTCGTAAAAATTTCCAACCGTATGAACTCGTTCGGTATGCTCCTCTTAGAGTGTTGGGCACATATTATTGGTGTGACCTATAATTGAACAAATTCCATAAGCTTTCATAACTTATAGATTTTCCATGACCATCCGTCTTACTAGTGAAGTCAAATCACACATTTGCTCCTCCAAACCGAATATGTTGACCTTATTTATCATTTTTGGTGCATGATCATCCCTTACACTAAACTGCCGAGAATTTACAGCCATGTTAGATATCAATTCTCTTACGAGCATCGAGGGTCTTATTTACTAGTGATCACATACTTGTAGGATCTATCATCCTCCTCTCAATATGTAGTAATCCTTTATAAAAGTATATAATTAGTAGCTTGTCGGAGATCCGGTGGTATGGGTAGTTGGCATATAACTTCTTGAACAACTCCCAATACTCATATAAATTCTCTCTATTGAATTATTTCATGCCACGGATCTCCTTACTTATACTAGTAGCTCTCGAAGTAGGAAAATATTTCAACAAAAAGGTCTAGCTTGCTTCATCCTATTCTATGAATCAATGGATCCTGTAAGGAGATCGTACAACCATTGTTAGTGTAAGTACTCAATATCCAATAATGTTATGATAGGTTAGAGTTATTATATCATTACATTATTTATTTTATCAATAATAAAAGAATATTTCTATTAATTCTTATTATTTATGCTTATTTATTGAATATAATTAGATAGAAGTCCATATGATATGCATTTACATTAAGGATTGATCAAAAGATATGAGAAAAATATTAATGCATGTAAATGATATCATTAAATGTCATAAGTCGTAGTATTATAAAAAAATGGACATTGACCATATATGGCTAGACTTGTGAGTGAGATGCTTATGTTATATGATAGCAGTAGGAGATCTTACACCTATTGACATGATGATACCAAGGAAAACACTTAGGTGATTTATGTTAGAGAATGCATAATTGGATTTGCCTCGCTATGAGAACCCATTTGGTATGATTATCTCATACGAGATAGGTACAGTAGTCCTTAGACTTGAAGTCATTATAGTTATCTCATTAAAGGATTTACATACTCGATATTCATTTTGATGGAACCGAGTAAAGGGTTGCATATGGACAATTCATTAGGTGCATTAATAATCTAATAAAGATAGGTAGATGACTAAAATAAGACATGTCATTCCTTGTATATTAAAGGAGTTATCACATTATACTTTGAATAATGTCTCGCTCAAAAAATCTATAGCCATGTTAGGAGTTCACTAATAAACCATATTTGGTTTACTCTAAGAGCTAAGACATGTGAGAATTAAAGAAAACATGAGTGATCATAATTGAATAGACTAAATAACCAAGTTTGAGATCGTACTATGATAAATTAGCATAAGGACTAAAATGTATGATAACCATACTTGTGAAAGGTAATTGCAAATTAATTAATCCTCCTTGAGAATTGGATAGTTATAATACCTTGCTAAATGCCAATCTTGATTTATGTATCAAGAAATAAAAGAGGTGTCATTTATTCTTGATACATTGCCCATATATCTAGAAGCCTATTGAGTCATATGCATAAGTTTAAACATTCACATAAAAAAAAAAGAGAAGAAAAGATGTTGAAATTTTTTTTTCAAATTTGAAAGTTTTATAGTTTAGAAAAGGTTTCCTAAAATGGAAAGTTTCCTAATTTAGAAATCGGTTTTCTAATTTGGAAGTTATTCCCAACTTTGAATGTAATTTTCCTAAAAGAGAAATTAATTTCCTAATTTAGGTTTAAGGGTAAGAAATTGCTTCCTAATTTAGGCCTTCTAAAAATATCTAACCTAATTTATTTTAATAGTCCAAATTAATTAATTAGGCCAAAGGAGTTTGGGCTAGTAGGTTTAATAAAAAAACTTAAAGATATTTTAGTAGGAGGATATGCATGAACCTTATTAGATAAGATGAATGTTCTAAAGGATAAGATCTAAAAGCTCGCATGCATAATAACTTCTAATATATAGAAGATTAAAAAGCAATAGCCTAGAGTCCATATGGGATAAGTTGCTACCCCTTCTTTGACCTTGGAGGACATGGAAGCATCTCCCCTATAAATAGAAGGAGGGGTATGGCAAAGAAGAAAAGAAGTGTAATAAGGTTACATGACAAAAGGCAAAAAATAGAAAAATAGTTTTCTCTACCCTAGCACATGTCACATCTCCCCTTTCTCTTACGATTGTTGCACAAAATCCCTAAATAGATTTCTATAAGGAAAAACACTAAATAAGTAAGAAAATATAGAGTCTAGCACTCTACTATTTTTGAGTGCTTCTAATATGGATGCTTGGATCGTGTTGATTATCAAGAGAGGCCACTTGGATGACTCCTTTTCTATAAAAGTTTAATTCTATGTTACAAGGGTTATCCTTTATTTATGCTTTAATTTATGCATGTATGGCTAGTTGATTTAATGGTATGATCTTGGGAACTTTAGATGGAGGAAAATTTTTGTTTCATTCCGTACCTCTATAAGATGCATGATCCTTCAATCAGTCCTTAGTTTTTATATTTAGTGAAAATGTGAATACCTGTAACTTAAACTACTATTCTGATACTCCTTGTGGTCTCATGGTTAAGCGAGACCACATGGAGTTCCTTTAAGTGTTTAAGGGCATCTTCACTAGTAAGGCCCTAGAATTTTGATAACAAGTGTATCAATCCCAACTTCAACTCAAATGTGACATCAAGATTTGGAAACTTTATACACAAAGGCTACTAGTTAAGATTAGAAGTAGCCAACTCCTTTTAAGTTTTGTTCACCTTATTTACAACCATGACCTCTACTTCGAATCACTTGATGATAAAAACTCAAGAATGGTAATTATGCCTAGTGAAGCAAGAACTACTCTTTCGGATGTCTCAATCCTCTCTATATAAGCTTTCCTAGATTCTCTCCTCAACTTGCTTAATTCTTATCCTAGTTTGGGATTAAAAAATAGGTCACCTAGTTGAGACCTAGTCATATACCAACTCGATATAGACAATAAGAATGGTTAGAATATCAAGAAATAATCAACTTGAGTGCGATCATCCCTAACAATAATATTAAAATTTGACAGGATGTCGCACTATCAATAAATTAGTTATTTATTTATTTTCCTTATGAAACCCATACACAAAGGTGTAGATAGAGAAAACAAGGGTCAAATCCATAGGGAAGTGGCTTAATTAACGGTTTCTATTATCCGATTGTTTTGTAGTGCAACGAAAGTGAAAGAGGGCTTATGGTTGTTGTGATTTGTAAGCAATCAAAAGTAAATATAAATAATAGTAATGAGAGAAAAGCATTGTTTGAAGTTGCACATCCACTTTTGGTTTGGTTACTAATCGAATATTCACCATAGGACAACAATATATATATTGTCTCCAATTTTACCCTAATGATTTATTAACCAAATTGATGCTACTTGATTAATTTCGTAACTATTGAATAACCTAGTAGATGCTCGTCTAGATTTAACTCAATAACAACATTAAAATAGAGAAAGATAGGAAAAGCTAAACCATCCTTTTAGATATTAAAAAAATATAATCTAGTTCTATGTTTTCAAAGGGATTAAATGAAAACACACTTTTAATCATTAAACCCTAGTTACTACTACGGACAAGTTTAGATAAGCAATTACATGAATGTGAATGCTTAGCAAACAATATATTTTAATGATCAAGCAATTAGAATACACTATAATCAATTAATTACACAACCATAACCAAGTAGTGAAGAAAAAACATAAAATACTAAAAAATAATAAGTTTTGAATAAAACTTATCAAGATGTCACAATGACTTAACCAAAAGCTTTAATTTTTCTTCAACCAATAGAGGTGTTTAGTTGTTCATTACTAATTACAATGAAGAATTTTCTATCTATGGTGGTCGTTTAATGTGGGAATCCGTAAATAAAACTCTAACCTCACTATTTATAACTAAAACTAAGGTTATAAGCATATACATGTTCGTTTCACATGGTCAGTACGGGTTGTTTAAAGCCTTGAAGAGCTGGTAAAACATGATTTGCTCGACAATGGCACATGACCATATGCCATTTGGACTCCATCTCATGTGTTTCTTTGCTTCATCCTATGTCCTTAGCTTCTACCCATATGGAATTGCTTCTTTATCCTATGTCACTTCATTTTGCCCGTCCTGTCTCATTCTTTGGGTTACTTCTTAGTTGAACACATATGAGCATATCTCTCTTTTAGTGCATTCTATGTGAATGGCTACCGTCTATATGTTACTTCCTTCCTTTTGGAAAGTACTCTATCTTTGACACATGTATTGGTGCATTACTTTTCTTGCTCTTACCCGTGAAAGGCTTCGCTCATGTGGCTTTATCGTCGAACATCCATGTGGTTTCTCTCTTTGTTTTGCATGACTAGTAACTATCTCCCTTTGTAATGTGTACGACTATGTGTCTTCCGATTTTCCTTAGTGACTTTAGCTTCTCCTTACTTTGGCTTAGGTTTCTAGCTTAAATTTGTCATTTTTCCTATAAAACCTAAAATTGTTATCTTGAACTTAATTTACTAAATACAATACAAGAAAAACTAGAAATTTCATCATTAAATCAATATGTTTACTCACGGTAATCGTGGCCTTGTAAGAGAATCGATGATTGCATCTTTGATGCACTTGCTAATACTAGTACATCCGAAAATTCTTAATTGGCTAGTTATAAATAGCCCTAAAATTTGGAACAAAGGATTATATCAAACTTACCAACACCAAGGTATTGACGAGTGATTCTCAAATATTGTAGAATAGAATGTGGTATGATGAGATAAAATGTAATAGAAAAAGAGCATAGGGAAAGGCTACTCTTAATGGTCAAAGCGAACCCTTTCATTCCGAATTAAGGAATTCAAAATAATTGGAATCTCCCCAGTAGGATTCGAACCTATGACCGGCCGGTTAACGACTCGACCGCTCTATCACCGAGCTATTGAGGAACAACGGGAGATTAGATCTCATAGAGTTCAATTTCCATTTTCAACCTATGACCATTATGAGCTCGAAGTTTCCTTTATAACTTCCGAAACTACTCCGTAGTGTCTTTATTCCATGCCTCATTTCATAGGGAACCTTAAAGTGGCTCTATTTCATTATATTCCATCCATATCCTAATTCCATTCATTTAATATCACCTTTGTTTGGTGTCATTGACATAAGAAATGCCATTTCTAGTCTATCTGTTTTTATTTCTATTTTTATATTTATGGAAAGTTTCAAAATCATCATATAATAATCCAGAAATTGCAATAGAAAAGAAAAAGGAGGTTTGTGATGATTTTTGAAATCTTTTATACTAGGTAATCTAGTATCCTTATGCATGAAGATAATCAATTCGGTCATTGTGGTAGGACTCTATTATTGATTTCTGACCACATTCTCCATCGGACCCTCCGATCTTTTCCTTTTCTAAGCTCGAGTTATAGAAAAAGGTGATGAAGGAATCAAGAAGAAGGTATCGACAACAATAAGTTTTATTATGGGGCGACTCATGATGTTCTTATCGATCTATTATGCACCTCTACAACTTGCATTAAATAGACCTCATACAATAACTATACTCGCTTACCATATCTTTTGTTTCATTTGTTTTGGAACAATCATAAACACTTTTTTGATTATGGATCTACTACTAGAAATCAATGCATAATCTTAGCATTCAATGTGTATTCTTGAATAATCTCATTTTTCAATTATTCAACCATTTCATTTTACCAAGTTCAATGTTAGTCAGATTAGTCAACATTTATATGTTTCGATGCAACAACAAGATGTTATTTGTAACAAGTAGTTTTGTTGGTTGGTTAATTAGTCACATTTTATTCATGAATTGGGTTGGATTGATATTAGTCTTGATACAGCAAAATAATTCTCTTAGATCGAATAAGTACATTCAATCTAATAAGTACCTTATGTCTTAATTGAGAAATTATATGGCTTGAATATTTAGTATTCTCTTATTTATTACCTGTGTCTACTCTTTAGGTAGAATACCATCACCATTTTTACTAAGAAACTAAAAGAAACCTCGAAATGGAAGAAAGGGAGGAAAAGGGGGAAGAAATAGATATAGAAATAGAAACAACTTTCGAAATGAAGGGGACTGAATAGAAACAAGAGGGATCCACCAAAGAAGATCCTTCTTCTTCCCTTTTTCATAAGAAAGGCAAAATCCCGACAAAATCGACGAAATGGAAGAGATCCGAGTAAGTGGAAAGGAAAAAAAGGATAAATTCCATTTTCACTTTAAAGAGACATGCTATAAAAATAGGCTTATTTATGAAACTTTTTATTTACATGGCAATCAAGAAAATTCAAAGTTAGGAATCTTTTTAGATAAAAAAAAATAAAGATCTCGTATGGTTTGAAATACCTCATGTAACTATTCCGTTCGACTATAAATGTTGGAATCATCCATTTTGATATATAAAAATGATTAATTTAAGAATGTTGTAAGAAAATAAATGTCATAATATTTGTTTCTACATGTCGAAGTGATGGAAGAGAAAGAATATCCTTTACGTATCTACCTAGTTTGTCAACTTTTTTGGAAATGATACGGAGAAAGATGTCTTTGTTCATAACAAAAAAACTCTTCTTTGAGGAATTGTATAATCATTAGAATTATAACAATGAACAAAAAAAGAAAAACCTAAGTAACGAGTTTATAAATAGAATAGAAGTTGTAGATAAGAGGTTTCCTATTCTGAATATACTCGAAAAAAAAAGACTAGATTGTGTAATGATGAAACTAAAAAAGAATACTTACCTAAAAATATATCATCCTTTTTTGAGTGGGCTCTATCGTGGAAAAGTCCATTTTTTTTTCACCCTCAATCAGAAATGAAATTTCCATGAAAAATTACATAGAGATGCTTTGGATAAATAAAATTTATCTTATCCTTCTTATTTCTAATTATCAAAAATTTGAACCAAAAATGGATTTAGAGGATCGAATAAAAATTTTAAAAGATTCTTTCTAATAGAAAAAAAATTTCCAAAATAGAAAATTAATAAAAAGATTAATACATAAAATAAATATAACAAGAGATAAAAAGAGATGTGACGGCCTCCTACATATTTTATACCTTCCCTATAAAGAAACTTGTAAAGCCGACTCCATTGGTAATTCCATCAATTACTCATCTATCAAAAAAATAAGTTAATTATCTTCTTATACCTTTTGTTAAAGGTATTGCATAAAAACATCTATGTAACCACGATTATAGGACCAATCATATGTCATATTTATTATTTTGTCCCAAAGACTTCTCTTAGGACCTTTTTTAGCAACCAAATTAAAGAACATTAAACTTTATAACAATGAATAAATCGACTTATATAAAGAAGATGCTATAAATATCTTAAAATAAGCTATAATGACTGAAAAAGTTGCATTTCTTACAAATTTATACCAATCTACGGATTCTTTTTGATGTAAAAGACTTAAAGACGAGATTAAGAGTTTGGATAATATATCCAAATTCATTTCTTGATTGAAAATGATTCTTATAGTTTCAATAAACAAGGTAAATAGTACCAAAAGAAGCATGGGAAATAATAGAGTATTATTCAATTCCCGGTGATAGGAAAAAAATTCTTTTAGTACCAAAATGATTAATAGTAATAAAAGAACATGTCATCTTTCTTACAATACCATCGGTTTGATATGTTTTTTTCAAAAAAAAAAAAAAAAAAGAAGCCCTTTCATTATTATTTATTATTAATAAAGGTGGTAAACAAAATTTTTTAATCATTTTTTATTCTTTTTACCCCACAAAGATATTGAATAGAATGCACTATTTTTTTTTACCACTCGTAATTTTGAAAATAAATATTTAAATGCCCTTCAAAGTAAGTAAATAAACTTGAAACATATAAAATGCAGTTAATCTTGCTATGAAAAAGCTATTATTGTGAAAATAGGTGAATACGACCAACTATCATTAAGAATTTCATCTTTGGACCAAAAACAAGCGAGAGGTGGAATACCACAAAGAGAAAGGGTTCCTAATAAAAAACCAATTTTTGTAATTGGAACATGTTTTGTTAAACCACCCATAAGAACCATATTTTGACTCTTATCTGGAGAATAGCCAACAATAACTTCCATTGAATGAATAATGGATCCAGATCCTAAGACCAATAATGCTTTCGAATAAGCATGAGTAATCAAACGAAATAAAGCGGCTCGATAAGAGCCCATACCTAAAACTAAAATCGTATAACCCAATTAAGACATTGTAGAATAGGCTAAACCTCTCTTAATATCTTTTTGAGGAAAAGATAAAGTAGCTCCTAAGAGTATTGTTATTATACCTATCAAAGCTATTAGCTTCATTATGTAAGGTATAAAAATCAAAAGGGGAAGAAATCGAGCTACAACAAAATTCCCATTGCTACCATAGTAGCGGCATTTATTAGAGCCGAAATAGGGGTGGTCTTTCCATTGCATTTGATAACTACACATGAAAGGGGAATTGGACCGATTTAGCAATTGCACCGGAAAATAATAGGAAAGCACACAAGGTAACAAATAAAAAATGAACCTCATTATTATAAATCAAGTTATTGAATATTTCAAACAAATCCTGAAATTCTAAACTGCCTGTTATCCAATAAAGACCTAAAATTCCTAATAATAAACCAAAATCGCCTACACGATTAGTTACGAATGCTTTTTGACAAGCATTGGATACAATAGGTCGTGTGAACTAAAAACCTATTAATAGATAAGACCACATTCCAACCAATTCCTAAAAAATATAAATTTGTATTAAATTCGAACTGGTAACTAATCCCAACATTGACAGTATTGAAAAAACTCATATAAACAAAAAATCTCAAATAGCCTTGATCATGAGACATATAACTGTCACTATAAACAAGAACCAAAATGCCAACCGTAGTAATTAATATTAACAAAATAGAAGTAAGTGGGTTAATCAAGTGCCCGAACTATAAGGAGATAATCATTGTTGATGGTCTAAGACCATACATATTGATAAATGGAACTATTATTTATTTGCTAAATAAACAAATCAATCGAACAAACCATAACTATACTTAACAATAAAACACTCAAAAAAGCCCTAATACGATGAAGTTTTTTTGTTGACATTGGAAAAACTAGGTGTCCCATTCTTATTAATATAGGGATTGGAAGTGTAACGAAAGATATAATCCATAAATATTGATATGTATGTTCCATAAAAAAAATCTTATTATTTTTATTTAATTGATAATAATTAATTCTTTATTATTTATGATTCATTGACTCCTACTTTACAAACGACTTGATGGGCTATCCCCTTTCAACTCGTCGAAGTGTTTGAATAGAATGGAAAAAAATGAGTCTTCATAGGTCAATTGTCGACTAATACTATTGTGATCATTACGGATGTACGTGATCCAGCCGCACCTTCCAAAGCATAGATACAAGCCTCGCTGGAGTGAAGTCATAATAAGGTAGTCGTACTAGAAGGTATGGCTGGATTATCTCCTTTTTAGGGAGAGGTAATGCTTGTTGGGTATTTTCGTTTGACACTACTTCATACCCAAAAAGAAAGGAGCTACGTATGAGTTAAACTTGTCGACGACGAGTCCTCTTTCATTTCTTGACGAGTGAAGTAAGACCAAGCTCATGAGCTTAATATCCTAGGTCAAAAAAAGTTGATATGATCCTTTTTTTTATGCCCCGTGTCCCTCCCACGTGGTGACATGGGGACGTAAAACGAAAAGAGAGGGATAAGGTTTCTTTTGCTTTTGGCATAGCGAGCCCTAGATGGGAGGCCCGCACGATGGGTTATTAGCTCGGAGGTAGAGCACACCCTTGATAATTATGTTGTTATGCCTAAGTCCGTAAAGGTCTTAACCATATGGATAGTTCAATGTGCTTATCAACACTCGACCCCGAGATGTGGATCATCTAAAGCACATTAGCATGGCGTACTTCTCCTATTCAAATCGAGGTTTGAAACCAAACTTCTCGATTTAGGTGAGATCCAATATAGATCCAAGTTTCTATTCACTCATGGGATCCGGACGGTCCAAGGCGAACCACCATGGCTCCTCTCTCGTCAAGAATCCATACATCCCTTATCAATGTATGGATAGTTATCTCTTAAGCATAGGTTTAGGTTCAGCATCAATGGGTAAATAAAATAGAGCACCTAACAACGTATCTTTATAGACCAAGAATTACGAGATTTGTTTCCCTTTTGTAGGGACTAAGAGATTGGATCTAGTCGTAAGAAGAATACTTAGCCGATAAATAACTCACTTCTTGATTTTTTACCTCCTCGATCACTATGAACGCTCCTAATTCGTGCAATGAGATGTGTTTATTTATCTATCTCTTGACTCGAAATGGGAGTAAGTTTGAAAAAGGATCTTAAAGTGTCTAAGGTAGGGCTCGGAGGGTCTCTTAACGCCTTCTTTTTCTTCTCATCGAGTGATTTAAAAAAGACTTTCCATGGTAAGGAAGAAGGAGGGAACAAGCACACTTGGAGGTGTAGTACATTAGAGAGTTGTATGTTATATTCAAGAAGGATGAATCGCTCTTGAAAAGGAATCTATTGTTTCTCTCCTAATTTATTGGACTATAGGTGTATTGATTTACTTCACGAGCAAGGTCTCCGGTTCAAGTCTAGGATGGCCCAATCGTGCCAAAGAAAAGAATAGAAAAAGCATTTGACTCTTTCATACATGCACCACTTGGCTCGAAGGGATGTAGCTTAATTGGTAGAGGTTCGCTCTTATAATTGGGTTGTTGTAATTATGGTTTGGATGTCTAATTGTCTAGGTGGTAATGATAATATCATGTACCCGAATCGATGGCTCACTTCTTTTATGTAATGGGGAAAAGGATTGAAACATGCCACTAAAAGACTCTACTAAGACAAAGATAGGTCGTCAAGAACGTAGAGGAGGTAAGATGGATAATTGGTCAAATCTAGTATGGATCATATGTTGATGATAGTTGGAGTCAGCAACTTTCCTAGGATTTCTTTATCTAGGATCCATGGGGAAGAGGATCAAGTTGTCCTTTGTGAACAACTTGATGTACTATCCTCCTTTAACCCTTTAGCAAAATGCAAAAAAAGAAGGAAAAGCCATAGACCAATCCCATCATCTCCACCCCATAAGAACTATAAGATCACCCCAAGGATGCCTTTGGCATTCGGGGGTTACGGACTAGCCATAGAACCCTGTTCAATAAGTGGAATGCATTAGTTTTCTACTCTTAGGTTAGGCAGTAAGGGTCGGAGAAGCGCAATCACTCATTCTTAAAACCAAGTATTCATAAGACCAAAGAGTGAGGCGAGAAAAGAGAAGGGGAAGCTCTCCTTTCCTAGGTTTCTTATAGCTCAATGCTTAAAACTTATAAGAATCCTTAGTTAGAATGGGATTCTAACTTTGCACCTTTTGAGATTTTGAGAAGAGTTGCTCTTTGGAGAGCACGAGTACGATCAAAGTTATAAGCCATGTTCAAGGAGGAGTTATTTTCGATCACCAACCTCTATGGTAGAATCGGTCGGGGGCCCAAGAGGTGGTGGTTCACCTTGTGGAAGATGTCGGCAGCTCGAGTCCGCTTATCTCTAACTCATGAGCTTAGTCCGTATAAAGCTATAATATAGCGACTAATTTTTTTGATTCGGTAGTTCGATCTATGATTTATCATTCATGTACGTTGATAAGATCCTTTCATTTAGTAGTACCTTAGGATGGCATAGCCTTAAAGTTAAGGGTGAGGTTCAAATGAGGAAAGGCTTACGATGGATACCTAAGCACCTAGAGACAAGGAAGGGCATAGTAAGTGATGAAATGCTTTAAGGAGTTCAAAATAAGCATAGATCCGAAGATTCCCAAATAGGTCAACCTTTCAAACTATTGTCGAATCCATGGGTAGGCAAAAAACAACTTGCAAACTAAATCACATTAGTAACTAGAGGAAAAGAAAGCACAAGTGATTCCCATAGTAGTGGCGATCAAAATGGAAGTAACCTAAATCGTGAAAACGAGGATTGTGGGAGAGCAATACAAGCATTGTCGTTGTTAGGTGAAGTGATGAAGTGTTGCACCTTAGATGGAGAGAGTCTAGTAACCAAAAACATCACTAGCTTACACTTTGAATCGAGTAGCATAGGCCACATGGAATCCCATGTGAATAAGCAAGGACCACCCTATAAGGCTAAATACTCCTAAGTGACCAATAACGAAGTAGTACTATAAGGGAAGGGTGAAAAGAACCCTCCTCGTGGAGAAAAACGAACAGAAACCATAAGCTCTCAAGTAGTGGGAGGAGCCCGGGGCTCGACCGCGTGCTTGTTGAAGAATGAGTCGATGACTCATAGGTAGTGGCTTGGATAAGGGGACCCACTAGAGCTATAGTGAAAGTAAGTTTTCATAGGGCAATTATCACTCGCTTATGAAGTTGTAACAAGGCTGATTCAAAATGAGGGAACAATGACATTTATCACAATAGATCTAATTGCCCTTTTCCATAATCCATACTAAACTATCTTTATAGCTCTAGAATGTTTCAGTTTATGCTCACACATATTATCTAGATATACCAAGAAAGATGTATTATCTAATAAAGTCTGCTAAGAAATATTTACTCATAGGTAGGGTAAGCTCTTCCATTCTAGTTCATGGTTTCTCTTAAATATATGATCCGTCCAACGAAGAGATCGAGCTTTAAGAAATAGTGAATGGTCTTATCAATACATAAATGCATAACTACCCAAGAATTTTAGTTGCACTTATATTCATCACTATAGGAATTGGGTTCAAGCTTTTCGCAACCCCTTCTCATTAATGGAATCCTAACATATACGGAAGAGTGTGGTTCATTCAAAAAATTCCTACCTCTCTATCTATCTCTATGATGCTAGGATTTTTCAAAATTCCATGGGTATACGAAGAGAAATGCTATCCCCACTCGGACCAAGACATAAATTTTACTTGTTCAAATAACAATTAAGTTGAAGTAGGTTCAGGAATAACAAATCTCTTTATGATAAACAAATTCATTTTGCAAGTTTGTTATTACGGGTAGCTCCTACAAAAGATCGGACTAATGCCATATACAATACTTAAATTCTTGATGTAGATGCTACATAGTTGGTTCTCATCCTTTAGAGACTACAAGTGTAATAAGTGCATCCGTTGACAAAAGGATCACCCTAAAATGATCATCTCATGGCTATTGAGAATGATCTTTATAAGGTCTTCCTTCGAATGAAAGTCGGTGGGATCCAAAGAGAACATGTCTTCATCCATAGGATCCTAAGTGCTTAGATCAATCGAAAGTTCAATTCTATCCGAACTACTCATTTTCAAATGATATCCATATTGTTCACAAATATTCATTTTTTATTTAAAAAATTTCTTATAATTTAATCCATAACAAATTTCATATTGAATCCACAAATGCTTGTATTTTTGAGTTACACCGAGATTATTAGAATTTTCTCTTAGAGCAAAATCGCCGCCATTCGTGCTAGTTCTTAGCTTGGAATTCTCATTTTCACTACTATTTCTACTTTCACCCCAAATGCAAGTAGAAACGTAACTTTCGTTGTAATATTCACTACCACTTAAAATATAACTATCAATCCCGATTTGAGAACGAAGATAACTCGTCGATACAAATATTGATATAATTATTCCAACTATATTTATTATCATACATATAATAATCATAATGGGAATCGTCACTCCTAGACCCCTTATTTAAATAGCTAGAATTCCAATAACTAGAAAAAGAATTTTCTAGTTCACTTAAAAAAGAATGATTATTGTCAATCCTAAAAACTTGATTCTCAATTTCAAAATATATGGAATAACCATCTTTTTATCATCCTTACCTAAAACTAAAAAGTGTCATCTACGTTTAAATTTTGAATGTCCTTAATGTCGACTAAATGATAAACATTACTAATGTTACTATGACTCCAATTATAGGTGTTTTTTCTATATCATTTAGAATTGAGTCTTCATTTACACCGATATTTTTAAGAGGACCAAGATTATCCATTGATTTACTTATCCTACACCTGTATTCTAACTCCATATTGGATAACATCGAATTGAACCAACATTTTTTCATAGAGCTTTCTTACCACTATTTACATCAAAATAAATAGATGTATAGTCATTCGATGAAAAATCATTTGAATATTTCACTTCCTCTCAGAATAAGCATATAAATCGAATAAGTATATAACCCAATCATTAGGATTATTAAGTAATAAAGAGTGGATATTGAAAAATGAAAAAGAAGAAGAAAATAAATATAAATAAATATAAAAAATAGGACTTTATCATGTTGTGTCAAATTCACATTGAGAAAAGAAAGATTTCTTTTCTCCTAGGAATATTTGGAAGAAGATTTTTTGGAAAATCTCATCTAATAGAGACTTTCTATACCAACATAGAATGAAAAAGACAATATATAGGATGGGTAGAAAAAGTTGTGATACTTGGCCCGACGCATGACTCGAAACTAAGAGATATAAAAGAACACACCAATCCTATAGATCCTTAGGATTAATTAGGGATCCAAGATGATAGTAGAAAGGTTTGAGTTATTTAGTCTTATATTTTGTATTTAACATCTTATATATCTAGCTAGGTATGTATCAATAAAAAATATATACAACAAGATATTTGTATTCGACTCAATCCTTTTAGTAAAAGATTGGGCTAAGTTTAATTTAGTTACAATTCAATTATGAGAATGAATGTTAATTAGTGGATTACAATGTATCCATTGCTTGGAATTCAAATTTAATCTCCTTCCACACTTCACAAGCAGCATTTAGTTCATGGCTCTATTTTCTAGCTTTATGGATAATTTCATTACCCTTACGAGTAAGATCATGTCCCTCATTACGAGCTTATACACATGCTTCTAGAGCTACTCGATTAGTAACGACACCAAGTGCATTTCCCCAAGGGTGCCTTAAACTTCCTCTACCAAATTGTAGTATAGAATCCTCTCTAAAGATCTTGGTCGGAGTAGTCATATGCCAAATGTGAATACCCCTCGAAGCCATAGGAGAACACCCGGTTAGACCCAATCTTGAGTGAAATGAATATCGCGACTTTGATCTTTTTCAATAAAATCATCATTGAGTAAATCAACAAAACCTAAAGTTATTTCTTTTTCTCCTTCAAGTTTACCTACTATGGTACCAAAGTGAATATGATCTCCACCAAACATGCATAATGCCTTAGCTAGTACACGAAAGTGTATACCATGATTTTTTTGTCTATCAATAACTACATGCATTGCGCGATGAATGTGAAAAAAGTAAACCATTATCTCTACAATAATGAGCCAAAGTAGTATTTACGATGAATCCCCCGTTAAGTAGTCATGCATTACGATAGGAACTCCCAATTCTCTAGCAAATAAAGCCCTTTTGATCATTTCTTTGCATCTAACTACATTAGCATTTAAATAATGCCCTTTGATTTCACCAGCTTTAGCTCGTGCTTTATAAAGTGCTTCAACACAAAATAAGAAACGATCTCTCCAATGCATAAATGGTTGGGAGTTCACATTCTCATTATCTTTCGTAAAATCAAGTCCATCGTGTAGACATTCATAAACTCGCTCTATTCTAATTCTTAGCAGATAGCCCCAATTTAGGTTTAATAGTACAACCCAATATGGGGCGACCATACTTGTTCAATTTATCTCTCTTAAGTTGGATGCCGTGAGGTGGGCCTTGAAATGTTTTAGTATAAGAGGAGGGTATTCATAAATCCTCTAAATATAGAGTGTGTAGGGGTTTGAACCCAAATACATTACCCACAATGGAAGTAAATATGTTAGTAACATAACCTTCTTAAAAAATATCTAAGGGGTAAGCTACATAAGCGATATATTGATTTTCTTCTCCAACAACGAGCTCAATTTTGTAACATTTTCCTTTATAGCGATCAAGACTGGTAAGCCAACCAGTCCACACAGTTGTCCACGTACTAGTAAAAGATTCAATAGCTACCGCGACCTTTGCTTCCTTGGATAAAACTCCGGGTCGAGGAGTTACTCAAAATGTCGCCAAGATATCACTATCTTTGGTTTCATAGTCCGGAGTATAATAAGTCAATTTGTTGTCTTTAGCATCAACCTTAAATCCAAGCACTTGCTTTAGTCTTTATTTGTGGTGACATAAGCCCCTCCCCACAACTTATGAATTAAGAATTCTCACAAGCAACAAGGCCTACTCGATAAGAATTAGGAGTTAATAAAACCTTTCATAGGAATCTTTCATAAAATTATCAACCAATATAGTATTATCAACTAATCAAAATTTCATTATTAGACCATGGTATTTGATTCACCAAATACATCATTATTTTATACTCTTTCATATGTATGGTGCAACCAATCCTTGTTTTTTAGGTTTCTAATCCTTAACTTTTTTGAATCAAAATATCTAAATAATAAGAAATCTCTTTTTGATAGTAATATGTGTTGTGTATGTAAATCCTAGATGTGAAAACATGTGAAACTTGTCTATGAATAAAAAAAGAAAATTATAAAATAATAATAATAGCTATGTATAAACCGGTATGCTAAAATAACAAATTAAAGGCATATGGGATAGAAATAATGAATCGTAAATAGAATTTAGGTTCGAATTCCATATATAATATGGATAAAATTGTCTATAATAATAGATAAATGATGTGAACCTTTTTTTTTAATTCATTTACTTGATATTTTGAAAATGAGTTAGTTGAACTTGTCACTCCTTGAAATTGTGAATAAGTAAACAGTTGAATTGGATTCGTTAGAGGGTGCCAATAAAATTGAATGCCAACTCCCATTTCTTATTGAATTAATTAATCAACTTGCTATCAAACATTTGTTTTGAACTCAAAATTTTTTTTAAAAAAATTCGACCTATTTTTTATTTTTATTTATTATTATGAGAATCAATCCTACTACTTCCGAGTCTTGGAGTTTTCGTGCTTAAAAAAAAAAAAAAACCCGGGACAAATCATTACCCCGGTGCTAGATATAGCTTTTCCCCTAAGCAAGATGCCTAATATTTATAACACTCGGTAGTTAAGGGTCGAGATACCGTTAGCTAACAAATTAATGTCACTTGTGAAGTATAGCAATTATTAGGAAATAATCGAGTTGAAGCTATAGCTATGAGTGCTATAGATGGTCTAATGAGAGGAATAGAAGTGATTGACATGGGAGCTCCTCTAAGTGTTCTAGTCGACGTGGTAACTCTAGGATGAATTTTCAATGTGCGTGGAGAACCCGTTGACGAGTTAGGTCCGGTAGATACTCGGACAACATCCCTTATTCATAGATCTTCGCCTACCTTTATATAGTCGGATACAAAATTAGCTATTTTTGAAATAGGAATTAAAGTCAAAGATCTTTTAGCCCCTTATCATTGTGGAGGAAAAAATCATACTATTAGGGGTGCCGAGGTAGGTAAAGCAAGTACTAATTATGGAATTAATCAATAACATTGCGAAAGCTCAAAAGGGTGTATCCTTATTTGGAGAGTAGGTAAACATACTCATGAAGGAAATGATCTTTACAATGAAATGAAAGAATCTAGAGTAATTAATGAAGAAAATATTATAGAATCTAAAGCGGCTCTAGTCTATTGTAAGATGAATGAACCACCGTGAGGTTGTGTGGGAGTTGGTTTGATCGCTCTAACTATGGTGGAATATTTTTGAGATGTTAATGATTAAGACGTACATCTATTTATCAATAATATTTTCTATTTCATCCAAGCATGATCCAAATTATTCAACTTATTGGGTAGAATGCCTTCTGCTATAGGTTATTAACCCACCCTTAATATTGAAATAGGTTCTTTACAAGAAAGAATTACTTCTACCAAAAAAGGGTCCATAACTTTTATTCAAGTAGTTTATATACCTATGAAGGATTTAATCAACCCTCGCTCCTCCCATGACATTTACGCATTTAGATGCTACTACTCGTATCGTCAAGAGAATTAACTGCTAAAGGTACCTATCCAACAAGTCGACCCTTTAGATTCAACGTCAACTATGCTCCAACCTCGGATCATTGGCAAGGAACATTATGAAACCGCACAACGAGTTAGGCAAACTTTATAATGTTATAAAGAACTTCAAGACATTATAGCTATTCTTGGGTTGGATAAATTATTCGAAGAGGATTACTTAACTATAGCAAGAACACGAAAAATTGAGCATTTCTTATCATAACCCTTTTTCTTAGTCGAAGTATTTACTAGTTCTTCCGGAAAATATGTTGATCTAGCATAAACAATTAGAGGATTTAAATTGATCCTTTCTAGAGAATTAGATAGTCTTCCTAAATAGGCCTTTTATTTGATAGGTAACATTGATGAAACTACTACAAAGGCTATAAACTTAAAAATGGAGAACTTAAATAAATGATCATAAGTCTTTGTGTATTCACCTTAAATTGAATTGTTTAGGATTCAAAAGTGAAAGAAATCATTTTATCTACTAATAGTGGGAAAATTGGTGTATTACCCAATCATGTGCCTATTACCACAACCATTGATATCGGTATTTTGAGAATACGTCTTAAAGACCGATGGTTAATGATTGCTCCGATGGGGCGGCTTTGCTAGAATAGGCAATAATAAGGTTACTATTTTAGAAAATGATATGGAGAAGGGGAGTGACATTGAGGAAAGCAGAAGGTAAGAGAAAAATAATTGAGGAAAATCTAACTCTCAAATGAGCTATAGCACGAGTAGAGGCTATCAATGTGATTTCGTAACTATAACTAGTTGGCGTTGCATACGAATAATAAAAAAACTTCTATATAAACAAAACTTCTATTTATACACCTTATTTTTTATTCCGCCAATTGAATAGACTCATAAATGGAATCGGATTCTATCAAATACAATAAACTTTTTTTAAATTCAAAAATGAAATAGAATAGAAAAGTTCAAAAATCAATAAAAAAGGAGAATAGAAAAACTTATTAGATACCATATGTAACGCCCCCACCTCGGTCCACCGTCTATTACCCAAATAGAAGTGACTAGATGAGATGCATCACGCCGACACTACCTAACCTTAATCATCTCTCGTATAGCGTACTTCGAAATTAACGACACATCACATAACAAAGCCGCATATAGTAAATTTTACATGACATAATTAATTCGAGTAACAAAATATTGCAAGTAGTTGTTGATTTAGTACAAATTCCATACCCCTAAATTACAAACAAAACCGAGTTTCAGCATTTCGTGTTACACATGAGCCTCATAGGAGGAGCCGGCCCAATCCTTACTATTTTGTCCTTTTCCTATCACAACATAAAAATAACGACGAGGTGAGTCGAAGCTCGGTAAGTGGGATGATGGACGTGATATGCAATGCTTTTCTTACTTCCCACCATACTCATCAATTTTAATTTCGTGTACCTTGGGTATTAGCTAGTCTACTCTATTTTTAATCTAGGTGATTATTAAATCATCTTCTACTACAATGAAATTATCCCTCATTGTAACCACTATTAGAGGGAGTCTATCATCTAACAATACGAGCACACAACTTAGAGTATGCACACAACTTGACTGCTAATATCCATTTATTCTCGTTAGGTTATCGAACCTAATTATGTAAACAAATTTTCAATCCATTGACTTTTCTCAATCCGCCCAACAATACACATGATGCATGTGATGTTATATGTACCATACTAAACATATCCAACCCATGTAGGATTCGATCTCTTATATTTTTATGGGTCTAACCACACGGGGTTTCGAGCATACTCATATCCCATATCATCATGAAATATTTTTATTTGTTCAATCCATACAGTGGTTTCGAGCATACTCATACCCCTTGTCATCATGTTTCTCTTTGTTAGAATTAAAGATCGACGAATGGTATTGATTTAGTTGTGGCTCTAATTATGTATGTTGGAACTTTCCTTTTGTTTCCAATCATAATTCTAATCATTAATTTGTTCCACTTTGACTTGAATAATTATTAGCATTTGAACCTATTTTCACTCATTTTAAGGTATATTTTTCTATTTTTATTTTATATCTATTTGAGCCTAATTGACCATTAATTACTCTATCTTGGTGAAAAGGAATGGAAACGAAGCAAGTATTAAGTAAAAGTGGTGAATTTCAAGTGACCAATGAATTATACGAGCAATAATGCATCCGTGTGGGAGGTCATGTAACTATCCGACTAAAGAAAAACACCTTTCTTCATTACACGGCAAGGACATACCCATGTGGGAAGCCATGTAACTCTTTGACTTTAAGAAAAATACATTTCTTCATTACATGGTTAAAGGCACGCTTATGTGGGAGGCCGTGTAACTCTCTAACTTCAAGAAAAATACATTTCTTCATTACACGGGCAAAGAAACCCTCATGTGGGAGGCCGTGTAACTCTCTAACTTCAAGAAAAATATATTTCTTCATTACACGGTAAGGACACACCCATGTGGGAGGCCGTGTAACTCTCCGACTTGAAGAAAAACATATTTCTTCATTATATGAGCAAGGACACACCCGTGTGGGAGATCGTGTAACTTTCCGGATCGAAAGTTTACTCAAGAAGAACCCTAAAATTTTATTTTTCTTTCTTTCTTTCTCCATTTTATTCAAGTCTATACAAGTCCTAAATTCACCCACCATGTTTTGGTTAGCCAAATTCCATCATTCACTTCCCCTTAAACATGAATTTAATTATATACCATGCTTTCTAAGTTTTGGGAGCCAACCAACACAACCAATCAATACAACCAACCATACCAATAAGATTGCAAGGTAAATAACATAACACAACCAATCACAATAACATATTACCACCTAAACACAAGTTTAGTCAATTGCATAAAGATTCAATAAATAGTATAAACAAGAAAAAGGTAACCCACTTACTTAGTTTGGATGAGGTTAGGTTTCCTTAGCTTTTCTTTCACTTTCCCTTTCTTTCCTTTCCTTTCTTTTCCTTTTTCTCCCTTTCCTTGCTGTGACTTTTTCTCCCTTTTCTCACAAGTGTATATCTTATCTTTTCTCTCTTTCTTTATCTTATTTCTCTCCCTCTCAATGGCTTCTTTGTCTTCCTCTCGGATGAGTCATGGGTTTCACTCTTAAAAAATGACTACGTTTCATTTTTTTACTTATATATATACTCCATTTTCCTTCTTTATTACTAATGTCATTTTTCCTAAATCAATTTGGCCAAGTATAAAGCAAAGGAAAGGTTTGGAAGGCAAGGCGGCATTTTTTGAAGTCCAAGGTGATAAGTTGGCTTCCATGCATTTAATTAAGGTGCTTAGGTGTCCTAACTAAGGAATTAGACTAACTAAACACCCTAACTAACTTAGTTTCAAGTAACTACCATATTTTCCTTCTTTTTTCCTTTTTCTTTCTTTTTTCCTTCCTTTTTCTATTTTTTCTCTCCTCACAATTCGGTTTCTCCCTTTTCTTTTGGTAAGTGATGGTTTTTCTTTACAAAATGGCAAACCATCCACTCTTTCTTACTTATATACTCACCTTTTAGTTTCATTAATTAGTATGCCAAATGTTCTAAATTATGTTGGCTAAGTAGAAACTAAAAGAAAACTTTGGAAGGCAAGGTGGCAATGTGGAAGTCAATTATGGTGAGTTATCATCCCATGCAATAAATGGTGAGCTTAGGTGTCCCCTTTAGTCCTTGAGATGGGTAATTAGAATAACTAAATCCCTAATCTAGTTTGATTCAAGTAACTTGTCGTTCCTTTCTCCAAAAATTTTGGCAAATTCCCTCTCCTAAAATTCAGTATTTCCTAATCATTTAAACAAGTCCCCACATTTCGGCACTCTTCGTATTTTGAATAATTTTTTTCTCACCTCATGGGATGTTCTAAGCATAGGAAATAAATGGCAACTAGCTAAGTTTTCGAATGTCATCCCATCAATTCTCACTAAAACACCAAGCATACTAACATCATATTAAAATGGCACATAGATTTCACCCACATGTAGTATCTATCTATATATATAAATATTTTGATAGTTTATATTTTGAAGGATTTTTACGGAGGTTATAATTCTATCCTCCTTAAAAGAAATTTTATCCCCGAAATTGACTCATCCGAATAACTCGGGTATTTTTCTTTCATTTGTTCCTCCCGCTCCCGAGTTATTTCCTCAAGTCATGATCTTAACACAAAACTTTAACTAGGCTAAAATCTCCTTATTCCTTTGTTTTCTAAC